TTGGACACAGGCTCCCTTCCCAGGAGAGAGGGCTCCCACCATCCTGGCATTCACAGCACCCACTGGAAGCCCTCCGGATGGAGAACTCTCTTCCTGGTACCTCTGTCTCCTGCGCAGCAGAGCCCTGGCATGGACGCTACCTGCATTATGAGCTCATCCAGCTCAGGCACTGTGACCAGGGGTGGCCACCCAGGGGGCTGTGCCTGTGTCCCCTGCCCTTCCTGGCCACGGGTGAGGGTGATGTTTCGGGTGTCGTTGCCCCACTAAAGAGACATTGTGTAGACACTTTCTCTGTTGATGAGTAACCTGGCTGTCACTGGTTCTGCATGTCCACCCCATTAGCACATGGTCCCCAGCAGACTTTAGCTGAGTACAAGGGCTCTCATCAGCTTGATAAAACACATCAAAACACATGCAGATTATTTATCACCACACCCAGTGAACCAAGTTTGACAAAAGTCTGTGACAGCTCCCTTAGGACAAGCAAAACTCCTTTACTTCACTGATATCAGATTTGGAGGGAGAAAGAAACCTTGGTTCTTGGGGACTGGTGTATGGCACAGCGGGCTAAGACACTGCTTATGATGCCAGCATCCCATAGTTGAAGTGCCTGTTCAAGCCCTGGCTCCAAGGCAGCTCCATACTAACACACCTGAGAAACCAGCGGCATATGGTCCAAGTACCTGGGCACCTGCCACCCCCGTGGTAGACCTGGGTGGAGTTCTAGGCTTTTTAAAAAGATTTATTTTTTTATTTTTTATTTTTTATTTTATTTTTTGACAGGCAGAGTGGACAGTGAGAGAGACAGAGAGAAAGGTCTTCCTTTGCCATTGGTTCACCCTCCAATGGCCGCTGTGGCCAGCGCGCTGCAGCTGGCACCCTGCGCTGATCCAATGGCAGGAGCCAGGTACTTATCCTGGTCTCCCAGGGTGCAGGGCCCAAGGACTTGGGCCATCCTCCACTGCACTCCCTGGCCACAGCAGAGAGCTGGCCTGGAAGTGGGGCAACAGGGACAGAATCCAGTGCCCATACCAGGACTAGAACCTGATGTGCCAGTGCCGCTAGGCGGAGGATTAGCTTAGTGAGCCACGGCGCCGACCAAAAACATTTATTTCTTTGAAAGTCAGAGTTACAGAAAGAGAGGGAGGAATACAGACAAACAGACACCACATGCGCACACACACACACACACACACACACACAAGGTAGAAGGGGAGAGGGAGAGAGAGGGAGAGAGAGAGAGACAGAGATACAAAGAGAGAGGTCTTACATCTGCTGGTTCACTTCTTAAATAGCCACAATGGCAAGGAAAGTGCCAGGTGGAAGCAGGAACCAGGAGCTTTCTGGGTCTACACTGTGGGAGAAGCAGCCTAAGCATCTGGGTCATCTTTCGCAGCTTTCCCAGGCACATTAGCAGGGAGCTGGATTGGAAGTGGAGCAGCCAAGACTGAAGCCAGCACCCATATGGGATGCCAGTACTGCACCGCTGGCTGAACCCATTACACCATAGTGCCAGCCCCGTAGGCTCCTGGCTTTAAACTGACCCTCCCTAGCTGTTGCAGCCATGTACGAAGTGAACCAGAGGATGGAAGATCAATCCCTCTCTGTCCACGGATCTCTCAAATAAATAAATCTTAAAAGAAACTGTTATGCCCAGATTGCTGAATCCCCAGAAATCACCAGAGACTTGATCTCACCGAAATGCAAAAGCAAGGTTTATTCTGGAAGTATAAGCTGCGGCAGGGACCTCATCTAACCAACCGATGCAGCGGAGGTCAGAGGAAGGCCCTGAGCTTTGTTCGGGAGCGTTTTTAAAGGACAAAGCTGCAGGGTTACATCAGCAAGGGTTTGGGGTACAGGGCTACAGTAGATTGAACGGTGCCATTCCTGGTAGCTCTTGGTTGGACGAGGCTGATCCTGATTGGCTTGGGCCCAGGGCATTTCCTTATTTGGTAACTGTTGAATCTTTGCTTTTACAGGAACTTGGGCCTGCTCCAGAAAATGGAGGCTGCTTTTTAAAATGGAGGCGCCTTGGCTCTTCAGAACTGAGGCGCCAGTGCTGTGGCATAGCAGGTAAAGCTGCCACCTGTGACACTGGCAACCCATATCAGGAGGCTGGTTTGAGTCCCGGCTGCTCTGCTTCTGATCCAGCTCCCCGCTAACGTGCCTGGGAAGGCAGAGGAAGATGGCCAACTACCTGGGGCATTGCCAACTGAGGGGAGACCTGGATGGAGTTTGGGTGCCTGTCTTCAGACTGGCCTAGTCTAAGCCATGGTAGCCATTTGTGGGGGGGGCAGGTGAACCAGTGAATGAAAGTTCTCTCTCTCCCCCTCTTTCCTCTCTCTCTCTCTCTCTCTGTGTGTCTCCACCCGTGTGTGTTTATTGTCTCCCTGTATCTGTAACTCCACCTTTCAAATAAATAGTTTTAAATATAAAAACAGTCTAATAAGACATTTTCTTAGCAGTTTCCTTTGGGATTTACACCGCATTGAATTCTTGGGGCAGTGCCCACAGAGATTCCGCCTCCTCATTTTAGTCCAGCGTGGACAAGATAGGACTTTCCGCAGCATGTTCAGGCTACTGATGAGCAGAGCTGGGGGACACAGAGTCCTAAGGGCCATCACTTACCTTGGGGGAGATGAATTTTCTAAAACCACATGGGTCTGCAAGGCTCCCACCAGCACTGGGGAGGAGTGATGAGAAGGAGAGCTGTGGTGTGTCTCTTGTCCTTGCCGACGCTGCTTTGCAGTCCGGATGGGAACTCTGTTTTTCCTCAAACTGGGTTACTTGAAGGGACTTGGAAAACCTCATGGAAAATGGAAATAAAGGATGAGCTTATTTGTTACAGTTTTTGAAATTCATGCATAGGAGAGGGGATACAAAACATTCACGGGAAAAGTATGTTAAGGACAAACTATGCAAAGGTTTTCAAAAGTTTTTGCACCTAAATAAATTTTGAATTCTATATCTGGTGATGTTTTGGTAGTATCCTGAGTTTCATCTTTATTTGATCTGCCTTCAAAAACTCCAACCTTATTACAAAGATGAGTTTTTACCTGTGCTTAATGGAAAACAGTCCCCAACGTCTTCATAATTTAATTTTTTTGACTTTTGTAGCAAAACTGTAGTGAGAATTCCTGGGGTGCTGGTTCTTTCCTCTCAGCCCTGAGGAGGTGACCAGCACTGCAGGAAATCATGGAGAAATTGCATTGTGCAGTGTCCCTGGACATCCTGGAGGAGGGGGTCATCTCCCCAGGGAGGGGTTCCTCTCCCAAGAGGGCGTGGGCAGTCGGTGCAGAGGGACCATCATGTGTTCCTGGGGCCCATGGCTGTGCTGGGCCCTGGGGGCTCCTCAAGAACTGCAGGAGACACAGATCCACTTGCTATGTGGGGGCAGGGGTTACCGGGCTCACTTCCTACCTGAGATGAGTTTGTCACTTCCTTGGGAGAAACACTGGTCCTGAGGGCTCAGCACGAAGCTGTCCCAAGGAGACAGATCTGAGGCTGTGATGCGGCCATCGTCTCGTCCTAGTTCTGGGCTGTGCAGGTCCTGAGGAGTTGAAGCAGGGAGTTTCTCCTTTTTTCCTAAGATGCATTCTATGTGTGTGAGAGTGAAGAGGGGAAAGAGAGAGTGCTAGTGAGAGAGAGAGAGACAGAGAGAGGAGCTAGGTAGAGGGAGCTAGGGAGCTCTTCCATCCTCTGATACAGCCCATAAATGACCTCCAGGGCTTGGCCAGGCTGAAGCCAGAAGCCAGGAGTTTTGGTTGTTGTTACAGGAGCCCAAAAACCCCAAGTGCCTGGCAGTGCCTCGATTCCTCCCTACCGGGTGGAGGACAGTCTCAGAGGATGTAGCTTTCTCGGCTGCCTCTGATTGGGCCTTCCATGTTTGGACTGCACAGACCCCACTACCTTCTGGGCTTCCAGGGTTTCTGCCAAGAAATCTGACGATGACTTAGGGGGAAAGGGTGACAAAGCCACCTTCCTCTCAGCTCTGGAGGTGCGAACAGTGTACCTGGAGGTGTCTTGGGCAGCAGAACACTTGTTGAGTTTACTGAAGCCAGAGATGTTGTTCCATCATTCTGAGACCCATCACTCAGAGAGTAAAGACAAAGGAGGGGCTATACTAAGTGGAGACACTAGGAGGTCTTCAAAAGATGCAACATATCATCATATTTAAACTAGTAATGTGAAGGCCACCCAAGCAATCTATAGGTTGGAGTTTCTCAAAAATTAAGTATCAAGCCCTATCACCAACCTAGGCCAAAAACTCTTTGGGTATCGTTTTAATTTAATTGGAAGATTCTCGAGAAAACCACTGTGGATGAACCACAGCTCCCATTGGTCAATTTCTTGCTCTGACTTCATAAGGCACCACTGTTATGAAAGTCATATTATTACACAGTCCCTGGCTGGGCTGTGATTGGTCCATTTCTTGCTCTGCTCTCACAAGGCGCCATTATGGGAGGTGAACCCCCAAAAAGTATATATAGCCGCTGCGGGGGCCTAGATTTTTGTCCGCCTTACCCAGAGAGCACTCTTTTGTGATCTGTGTAACTAGGACCCATCTAACCAGCCTTTGCGCTCGTTGGTGTTGCTTGTGCTTTTTCTTGGTTGTTTGTTTCTGGGTCTATTTGGTTTTTGCTTTTTTCCATTTTGTTTAGTTTGTTGTTTTCCTCCTCGTTGTTGTTTTGCCCATTTGGTCTTTTTTTGCAGTTTTCTTTATTTTTGCTTCCCCCACTCTAGTCAGCTAGCACACTCAGAAGTATCAGCGTTCGAGGATTTAGTGGCTTTTCCTCTTTGTTTTTTTCTGCTTTATTGAGATAGGCTTGCGGCTTCGCCACTAGAGTAGTGAGAGTAGCTGGTGCTGTGTCTTAGTCAGCTGGGTAGTCAGTCCCCTGTGGTCCCTTTGTGTTGTAGGCAGTGCAGTGAGGATCGGTGATTAGCTAGTGTGTGTCGAGTGATTTAGGGAGTCGAGAGAGCGTAGTTAGGTGACCGGCATCATGGAAGACCCCTTGGACTTCCATCCTGCTCTGGACGGGTTCCGCTTCGTGGACGTGATCGGCCGGGGCGGCTTTGGCCTGGTGAAGCTGGCCCGGCACCTGGCGTCGGGCAAGTACGTGGCAGTGAAGATCCTCCTGCGAGACTGCTCTCCCAGCAGCCCGCTGTCCGCGCAGGGGGAGGCAGCCATCCTGAGGAGCCTGCGGCATGACAACATCGTGCGGCTGCTGGAGGAGCGGCACACGAGGACGCACCTGTTCCTGGTCATGGAGCTGGCGACCAAGGGCTCGCTCCAGAGCTACGTGTTTGAGCAGGGCGGCCTGGCTGAGGCCGAGGCCAGGATCCTGTTCGGCCAGGCGCTGGCCGCCGTGAGCTACTGCCATGCCCAGCGCGTGGTGCACCGGGACCTCAAGCTGGGCAACCTGCTGCTGGACGAGCACATGACCATCAAGCTGGCGGACTTCGGCCTGAGCCTGCGGCTGGAGCAGGGCACGCTGGTAAGGGGCTTCTGGGGGACCCCCGAGTACTGCGCACCGGAGGTTTTCCTCGGGGAGGCCTATGACGCTTTTAAGGCTGATGTGTGGAGCCTGGGGGTGGTGCTGTTTGCCATGCTGGCGGCCACGCTGCCCTTCCGCGGCAAGGACACGGAGGAGCTGCAGGACACGGTGCTGTGTGCCTGCTATGTGCTGCCGCGTGCCGTCAGCCCGGCCCTGCGGGAGCTGCTGGCTTGGCTGCTCACTGTCGACGCCTCGGGGAGGCCCAGTGCGGAGGACGCCACAACCCACTGGTGGTTCGATCCCGGCCAAGAAGCTACCCAGGAGGAGAAGGAGGCCGCTGTCACCCTGCTGCAGCCCCTGGGCGTTCCCCGGGACTCAGAGGCCAAGGAGTACCTGGCGGGCCTCGGCCTGCTGCCAGGCACGGGGACTGAGGGGACGCCAGGCCCTCAGCCCCAGGGCCCTGCATCCCTGCCCAAGTCCTCACAGGGCGGGGAGCGCCTCACCAGAGAGAAGGACCATTTGTCTCTGGTGTCGGTGTCCTGTGACAGCATGTCCGTGGAAATTTCCTCCGCACGAAGCGACTCCTCCGAGGCCTCTAGTGAGTCTTGCCCTCCCCCCTGCCTCGGGGCCTCCAGGAGCTGAGCCCAAGGCCCCCGAGGTGACCCCACTCTTGACTCTCTCCTACCAGGCCAGCCACAGCAGGAGAGGAGCCCTGCTCCCAGCGCCGCCCCCAACTCCTCCCAGGCCTCCAGTGAGTCTTGCCGTCCCCCCTGCCACTTCGGGGCCTCCAGGAGCTGAGCCCAAGGTCCCCGAGGTGACCCCACTCTTGACTCTCTCCACCAGGCCAGCCACAGCAGGAGAGGAGCCCTGCTCCCAGCGCCGCCCCCAACTCCTCCCAGGCCTCCAGTGAGTCTTGCCCTCCCCCCTGCCACTTCGGGGCCTCCAGGAGCTGAGCCCAAGGCCCCCGAGGTGACCCCACTCTTGACTCTCTCCACCAGGCCAGCCACAGCAGGAGAGGAGCCCTGCTCCTAGTGCCAACCCCAACTCCTCCCAGGCCTCCAGTGAGTCTTGCCCTCTCCCCACATCCCCTGCCACTTCGGGGCCTCCAGGAGCTGAGCCCAAGGCCCCCGAGGTGACCCCACACTTGACTCTCTCCTACCAGGCCAGCCACAGCAAGAGTGGAGCCCTGCTCCCAGCGCCGCCCCTGAGCCAGCCTCCGAAGCGTCGCCCTCCAGCCCCAGTGCCGGGAGCCACGTGGACCTTGCAGAGCCAGAAGCCACCGCTGCCGCAGCCCGTGAGCCCAAGGATGCTGACACCACAGACACCAAGGCCAGCGCCCAGGGCAAGAGGCAGGGCCGTCGCGGGGTCGGCAGGAGGATCCTCCGGTTCCTGCTGAGGGCGTGCTGCATCCTGCCGTCCCGAGGGAGCAGCCCTGGCAGCTGCTGCAGAGTTGTCCCCAAGTAGCCTCGCCCCGCCCCCGTCTCCAGGAGCTATCCGCTGAGCTGACTGAACTTTTCTTTTCTTGAGCATTTGCACATGCTTCTCATGAATAAAATTCACCATGTGTGCATGGCTTTGGTCCCGTGTGATGTTTGGGTCCCTGTGTGCACCCTGGGGAGGTGATGGAGGTGACGGGTGGGTGGCTCTCACAGAAAGACAAACGCTGGGCCATCTCCCCTGTGTGGGGATCACAGAAGGGCTGACATCATAGAAGTAGAGCATAGAGTGACGGATCCCTGAGCCTGGGCCAGGGGAGGAGGGAGGGAGAGTCACAGCTTCCATAGTGGCACAGGCACACGGGGGTCGGGGTCTGATGAAGAGTTGATGAACCAGGAGAAGAAGAAAACTTATCCGAAGTGCTGATGCCTCCCGGACCCTGGGGGGAAGCTGAGCTTGATGCCCTAGCCTGCCCAGGGCTTTCCGGTGACAAGCCCACGAACTCCTTTTCATTCTCTCAACCTGCTTGGGGGGAGCTTGTCTTATTTCCATCCAGCATGCTGAAACTCTTCCTGTCTTCATAGCTGGGAAGTTTCATTTCTCAGGCCTGCAAGCACAGAAGTTTCATTATCCCCCCTTGCCTGGAATTTGGAGCTTCCAACCCAGTCCCCTCCAAGAACCCTGTTTCTTCCTGTTGGTGGGGAAATTACCTGCAGTCCCTAAGGGTCATTACCCTTTCATGGCTGCTGCCCAGGAGCCTGCACAAGCGCATCATGGAAGAGGAAATGGGAATGAGCTGTAAACGATGAAGAGATGACACCTTAAGGGACAGGAAAATCAAAATGCAATGGGGGGAGGGGCAGCAGTATGGTGTAGCTGGTAAAGACCCCTCCTGTGATGTTAACATCTCATTTGGGTGCCAGTTCCAGACCTGGCTGCTCCACTTCCTACCCAGCTCTCTGCTAATGTTCCTGAGAATGCAGTGGAAGACGGCTCAAGTGCACCCACTGGGGAGACCCAGAAGAAGATCCAGGCTTCTTCAAAAAGACATGCATGTACACATGCACAAGAATGTTCAGGACTACCTTGTTGATGATACCAAGACTGAAATCAACTGATGTATGCGTACACAAGAAGTAAACATTAACTGTGGTATAGTTACTGAATGCATTTTAGAAGGCAATGAAAATTAATGAACTTCAGCTACATATGGATGTGGATACAATGTGAGTAAATCTAAAAATCATAGCTCTGGAGCCTGGCAACATGGCTCACTTGGTTAATCCTCTGCCTTGCGGTACCAGCATCCCATATGGGCGCCAGGTTCTAGTCCTGGTTGCTCCTCTTCCAGTCCAGCTCTCTGCTGTGGCCCGGGAGTGCAGTGGAGGATGGCCCAAGTGCTTGGGCCCTGCACCCGCGTGGGAGACCAGGAGGAAGCACCTGGCTCCTGGCTTCGGATCGGCTCAGTGCGCCGGCCATAGCGGCCATTTGGGGGGTGAACCAACGGAAGGAAAACCTTTGTCTCTCTCTCTCTCACTGTCTAATTCTGCCTGTCAATAAAATAAAATAAAATGAAATAAAAAAAAATAAAAAGCATAGCTCTAAGTAAGAAAGAGAACTCCCAAATACCTACAAAAGTCATTTAGAAACATACGATAATTGGTACATTATCCAGGGTTGTATCAGGGTAGAACAGCATAGGAGTGATCAACATAAACTCCTAAGAGTGTCTGTTCTTCAGAGGACTAATAGACCAGCATCCCAGTTATGTACGCTAACTCGGTGGTGGTTGTAGGCACGCTCACCCTACTCTTTACATTATATATGTTTTACACTTGTGTATGCATGTCACATGTTGCATTTTGTAGTGAAAATATTCATACAAAATGCAGCATTTTAACCATTTAAAATTACTTATTTCGTTCATTTGAAAGGGAGGGAGAGAAAGACAGAGATAGCTCTCTCATTCACTTGCTCACCCCCAAATGCCCACAACAGCCAGGGCTGAGCCAGGCAAAGAAGCTAGAGCAGGGAATTCAATCTGGGTCTCCCTGTGGGTGGCAGAGACCAAAGTACTGAAACCATCACCACTGCCTCCCAGAGTGCACAGTACAAGGCAGCTGGGGAACGGCAGGCACTGTGCTGTCAGTTACCCGCTGCTCGCAACACTGGTATCCCATATGGGTGCTGTTTTGAGTCCCCATGGGAGACCCAGAAGGAGCTCTGGGCTCCCAGCTTCTCCTGGGACAGCCCCGGCCTTTGCAGCCATTTAGAGAGTGAGTCAGCAGATGGAAGACCTGTGTGTGTGTGTGTGTGTGTGTGTGTGTCCCTCTCACTCTCTCAAATAAATGAGTTTTCTTTGAACAAGGAAGCTAGTGTTAGGAGCTGCATTACCAGGAAGCTGGAATCAGCCAGGTGGGAACAGAACCCAAACACACCAAAATGAGATCCAGGCCTCCTAAGCGGGCATCTTAAACCCCTTTGCCAAAAGCTCATGGCTAAATGTTTTTTAACTGAACAGTTCTATCCAACTAAGCAGAGTCATGTGGCTGCTCAGCCATCCAGTTTTCATCTCCAGAATCTTTTCATTATCCCAAACTGCTTTTGGTATCATGGTCAAAAAAAATCATTGCTACATCCAATTTTGTAAAGCTTTTGCGCTATTTTCCTTCTAAGGAGTTTTTTTTTTTTTAAGATTTATTTATTTATTTGAAAGAGTTACAGAGAGGAGAGGCAGAGAGAGAGAGAGAGAGAGAGATCCTCCATCTGCTGGTTTACTCCCCAATTGGCTGCAAGGGGCTGAGCTGCGCTGATCTCAAGTCAGGCACTTCTTCCGGGTCTCCCACACGGGTGCACCGAGACAAGGACTTAGACCATCTCCTACTGCTTTCCCAGGCCAGAGCAGAGGGCTGGTTCGGAGGTGGAGCAGCCGGGACAGGAACCAGCGTCCATATGGGATGCCGGCACTGCAGAGGATGACCTTACCTGCTACGCCACAGCACGGGCCTCCTTTCTGAGAGTTTTGTGGTTTGAGCTCTTCCACTTAGATCTTTGATCCATTTTGAGTTCATTTTATATTTACATTCTCATAGATTTATATTTTTACATTCATCTTATTTATATGCAAATTCATCTTTTTGTATTATAACGCCTTTTTAAACAGAAAGAAAAGAATCGCAGACTATGGGCTCCCATAGGAACCCACCCCATTTCAGAGATCTGGGGAGGGAAGCAGGAGCACACAGGGCTCATGCAGCTGCTTCTAATGCCCCCGGGACCTCTTGGCTCAATCCACTTTCCCAGCTCAACGCACCTGCGCACTGCGCAAGGCCCCTGCAGCTACAGTTGGGGCCTCGGGTTGGGATCCGCCCCTTCCTGCTGCGCGCCCGCCCATGTCTCAGCACTAGCCCCGCCCCCGAGGGCGGGCCCAGCGGGTCGAGGTCTGAGCGTTGAGAAACAGGCCCCGGGCTAGGGTGGGAGGGAAAACCCGGAAAAGTGGGATTCGTTCTGGTGGCCCTTCAGCAGCAGGTTGAAGGCCTGGCCTCCAGCTCCGTTGCAGTTGTTGATCCGGACCACGTTTTCACTTACGCCCAAGGCCGGACGCGAGCCGGAGACCTCCTGGGGACCCAGGCCGAGGGGAGGCGGGGCGCGTGCTCGGCCCGGATTGGCCTTTCTAAATGGCGCGGGGCTTGGCGGGAGTTTCGTGGGCGCCGCGGGAGCCGGGAGCAGCCCGATGGCTCTGGCGGGCCGGGTGCGGTCCCGGAGGCGGGCGGGGTAAGAGCTGCGGGTCCCGCTCGGACTGACGCGGTTTGAGCCTTTGGGGCTGCGCTAGTGGAGCTTCCTTGTGGAAGTGACAGATCGCCCAGGGCCTCGGTTTGCATCTCTCAGTGCGGATTTCCTAGGAGGAGTCAGGGCGTGACGCCTTGCCTGGCGGGTGGGAGAGACTTTGGGGTTCGTGGAGCTGAGGGTCGCGGGCGCTTGGTGCCTGCTGTTCCCCAGACGTGACGCGCTGCACCCCTGCGGGTCGTGTCTGCCTTCGTACCCCAAAGCGCAGACTGTAACGCTGGCCCTCACCCCTGCCCGGGGACCGAGCTGCCGCTTCGGGAGTGTTCCAGGGCGGGGAGCAACTTTTCTCAAAAGGGGCATGCATTGGAAAGTACGTCGTATTCGTCGTTCACAGATTCGTGAGTGGACGCCCGGGCTCTCTAGCGTTGTCTACAGGGCATCCAGGCGCCGAAAGGTTTTTAAAAACCTGTTGGAGATGGAGACTTAGGGCATCTGTTGAGCCCTTCCCTCAGAAATGCACAGGAAAACACGGTTGTCTCAAGCGTCCATCTTGAATGAAGCCTCACCTGGACTCCAGCTGAAGGCGTATTGTTTGATTTGAGCACACGCAAGAGACAGCTGGAAATAATTTAGGTTAAGACGCGTACTGATGTGGTTTCTGCTTCCTGCTGACGTTACTTGACTGTGTGGCCATTGCTGGGTTTTTGTGGGAGGCCATGGATTTGAACTGAACGTCAAGCCGGTCACTGGGCTTAGGTGGCTGGGGGAAAGCTCTGTAGCAGTTAACTAACTGGGCTGTACGCAATGAACTGGATAAGGTGTTACCAATTGGTTGGGTAGGCTGCAGCCAATTAAGTTAATGATGTGTGATCGCTCAGGTTGCTGGTGGTTCTCAGAACTTGCTTATATTTCTGGGGCTGCTCCATTCCCTAATTGTTTCTGGTTTTGCTTCGCCCAAATAAACTCGTCTAAATTTAATTGAACTAAAACTTCCCTGTTACCATCATTGCTAAGTCATTTAGCTTTCCTGAACCTCTGAATTATAACCAGAATCATAAAATTGCCATTGAGCAAATACTTGTACCATTTTAGGTTTGGAGACTCAGATAAAGCGTGGGAACTTGAGAAGTGTGAACTCTCCACCCAACCCTTGACTTACTGAGCCAGAAACTGGGGGTGGCGCCAGGCGTGAGACCACTGCTCTAAACAGAGTTCCAGCTTTCTTTTTTTTTTTTTTTTTTTTTAACTGTGATTCACACAATGATGTTTTGCATCGCAGTTAGTACGCAGGTGCACATGAAACAAATCGGAAAGTTTATGAAAATATCCTATCCAGTGCAATCTTATATTTTCTGTTCCCTTGAATTTCCCTTTTAAGAAAATGCTAGGGTGAAAATCCTAAAGGGTGTTGGAGAGCCGATGAGATTTGGACATGGACTGTAGGTTGGATAATCACTTTGCAAATGTGAAATATCTAGATTTTGGAAATCCGCTATGACTGTGCACGTGCATGCCCTCTTAGGGAAGCCACAGTGAAGTACTTCAGTTAGGAGTGCTTACCTTGCACAGGCAGAGGAAGCAAAAGAGACGGTGAAGGCAACTGATGAACCTGGGTACAGGGGAGACAGTTTGAAATCATGTCAAATAAAGTACCTGAAGAATATTGGTTCAGACACACTAATCTGATACTGCCCTCCACAAAGGAGTCTTTGAAAACTGCAAGGCGTATTTTAAAGTCAGGAACTAGTACTGGATTCTACTAAAGTATCTCTAATACCCCATGCAGTGCCTCAGCTGTGGAGGGTGCTCAGTGCTTGTTCACTGACTGCTGATGTTAATATAGATTTTTCTTGCCACTGTTGTTTTCAGTTGTTAGTCTAGTCACTGTTGTTGCATTTGCTTCCTTTTCACTTCTAGAAGATCCGCACCTTAATCTGTTTTACGGTGTGCCCAAGGTCACTGGAGAGTGTTATGGGGTGGGAAGAAGGTAGGCTGTGGATTTGAACCGATGGGGTTTTCCTGCAGGCTCCTCTCCTGCCTGGCTGCCTGTTGCTCTGTGCCCGTGCAGAGCTGTCACATGGCTCCCCTCTACTTCATAGGATTGTTAAGCTGTGTGATCCTGGGCCAGGCGCAGATGGAATGGGTGTGAGGAGTCTCATCCATGTTGGTATCCGTCCTCTTGGCTCAGCTCTGCGGAGAGTCAGTCTTTCCTGACAGATCCGGGCGCAGGGGCCAGCGTGACAGCAGGATTAGAAGTTTTCCATGATCTTGAGGGACCGAGGTGGTCACTTTATATGTATTGGTGATATAATTTGACTTGTATGTTTGCAGGGTCTGGGTTCTGCTTCTTCATCATAACTTCCGTTCCATTGCATGCGCACTATTAGTACAGCTACTGAGCAGTGTAATTTGGGAAGACAATACTTGGAGAGAGTCAGGTTATGGTATTTTCCCTGGTTGCTTTAAATATTTCCTAACTTTTATTTTTTCCTGTTTCAGTGCAGTATATTCAAAGAACACTTTAAGAAGAACACATCCCATGAAAGAAGTAAGTTCTCTTTTTAGCTTTTAATGTGATTGTTCTCACAGTTGACTATAAAAGTAACCTTTGGTGAGGACCTTAGAGTTTTCTGTATTTCTCGTGAGAAGCTCTGTTTTATGGTAGTAAAAAAAAAAAAGTTTATTCCTTTTCTTCTCACTATTTCCACTGTTAGAAAAGAACCTTTGTTAACATTTTAGAAACATTTCTTTTTCTCCAAGCCTAGATTTGTTTCATCTAGATAATTAGCACTGTGTAAAAATTGTACAGCTTTCTGAATTTTGCCACTCCTCCCAGCCATTTCTCCGTGTTACTGACAATGGCTTGTGATTTGTGATTTCATGAGGTTCCATGTTGTCTACGTTACAGTTTTATTTTTCTTCAGGAGAGTCTTAGAATACCTGTATGTAATGGCAGGTACATTTCTTTAATGCTCTTGATAGCTAATTCCAAATTATTTTCCAATGGCCTGTTGCGTGGCATTGGGATTTCACATGAAGTCCAGGTGGTCGGGCAGTTGCGAGTGCGTTTGTTCTCTGTTCTGCCTCTGGCATCCTCCGGAACCCCAGCCTCCGGAGCCTTACCCGTATATTGAACTGTACACAGGCTCTCCTTCAGCCAGGACTGTCAGCCCCTGTGCTCCCAGAGCTGTGCACATCCAGGTGGCAGGCATGTTTCTGGGGAGACGGCCCACCGTTCTCTTTAGGGATCTAGGCAAGCTATGGCCTGGGGGCCCAAACCAGCCTACTACCTCTTTGTACACAAGCCTGGGAACGAAGGATGATTTTTAAATAGCCAAAATAAACTAAAAAGGATATGTTGTGTGCCATGAAGATGGTGTGAAATGCAGAGGTCTGCATCTGTGAGTAGATTGTGTGGGAAGCCGGCCCTGCGCATTCCTGGCTGCGCTGTCCCTGCGGGCTTTCCCTCTGCCGTGGAAACCTTGTGACCTGCAAAGCCTGAAATGCTCTCTGGTGCTTTGTAGAAAAGGTTTGCCAGGCCGGCCTTAGAATTCCAGAGGCCTCTGTCTCCTGGAGAACAGCAGAGTGGCTAGCTTCTCTAGGCGGCAGCAGGAGCAGGAGTGTCCTTGCTAAGTCCAGCAGCTTGCGGCTGGTGTGCGTTAGCACCAGTTCAATGACTTTGGTTTTCTTCACTTCCAGAAAGCTGGTCAGAAGCACAAGCCTGCTGATGTGTTTGAGTTTCCTGATAATTCCGAAATCTCAAGCAATGGCAGTGAAAGTAAGAAAGACGATGAGCCTTATGAGACTTTTGGTTAGTATTTAAATCTTTCTTTTATTTTTTTTTAGTTATTTACTTGAAAGAGTTACACAGAGAGGAGGAGAGGCAGAGAGAGAGAGAGGGAGGTCTTCTGCCCGCTGGTTCACTCCCTATTTGTCCGCAACTGTTAGAGCTGTGCCATTCTGAAGCCAGGAACTTCTTCTGGGTCTCCCACACTGGTGCAGGGAGCAGAGGAGTTTGGCCGTCTTCTGCTTTCCCAGGCCACAGCAGAGAGCTGGATCAGAAGTGGAGCAGCCAGGACTAGAACCGGCGCCCATATGGATGCCAGTGCTACACCATAGCACCTGCCCCCTGTGATTGATTTTCACTTAGCATGGTGTTTCCAAGGTTCATCCGTATGGTAGCATGCATCTGGCTGTTCCTAAACATTTTTATTCCTCGGTATTCCATTGTGTGGGTGTACCACATGTTGTAATCCATTCATAAGTTGGCATAAATTTACATGGTCTTCACTTAGGGACCATAATGCATGACTGTTGTATGAACATTCATGAGCAAGTTTTTGTGTTGACATCTGTTTTCAGTTCTCTCGGGCATGTACCTCAGAGTGGAATTGCTGAGTACTTTGGTATTTGAGACAGAGAGAAAGGTCTTCCTTTCCTTTGGTTTACCCCTCAAATGGCCGCTATGGCTGGTGCGCTACGCCGATCTGAAGCAAGGAGCCAGGTCTTCCTCCTGGTCTCCCATGCGGGTGCAGGGCCCAAGGACTTGGGCCATCCTCCACTGCCTTCCCGGGCCACAGCAGAGAGCTGCACTGGAAGAGGAGCAGCCGGGACAGAATCCGGCACCCCAACCGGGACTAGAACCCGGGGTGCCAGCACCGCATGCAGAGTATTAGCCTAGTGAGCTGCGGCACCGGCCTTAAGCACTGTTTTATAAAGCATCTGTACCACTTTATTTTTCCACAGCAAGCTCTGAGGGTCCTAATTTCTTCACATCTTCTTCCAAAGTTGTTGTTATATAATTTTTTCCTAGTTATTCTAGTAATTATGTGGTGGTTTTATGTGTATATATGGAAAAATGCAGCATAAAATTTATAATTTTAACTGTTTTAAGTGTAATTTTGTAACATTCACGTTGTGTTTTTTTAGTTGCTGTTTTTTATTTAGAGTTTTTTTCCCCATAAAACTTTGATTTAAGGAATACAAACTTACACATTTCATAAATACAATTTTAGGAATGTAGTGATTCTTCCCATTGTACCTGCCCTCCCACCCATACTTCCAGCTCTTTTCCTCTTCCCTCTCCTAGTCCCATTCTTATTTTTTACTAAGATCTATTTGCAGTTAACTTTATAACACATACGGTTAACTTTATACTACGTAAAGAGTTCAACAAATTGTATGAAGAAAAAAAATGTTCCTCAACAGTCAACATGGGCTGTTCAAAGTCATTTCATCTCAAAGTATTAATTTCACTATTGCAGATTACCTTTTAGATGCTCTGTTAATTATCACAGATCAGAGACAACATGGTATGTGCATTTGGGACCGGTGTAGTTCACTAAGTGAGGTGTTTTCCAGTTTCATGCATTTTGTGGCAAATGTCTGGATTTCATTTTTTTTTTTTTACTTTTGAGTAGTATTCCATAGTGTACATATCCCATAATTTCTTGATCTAGTCTTCAGTTGATTCCATATCTTAGCTATTGTGAATGGACCTGCAATAAACATGAGGGTACAGATAACTCTCTCATATGCTAATTTGGTTTTGGGTAAATTCTAAGGAGTGTGATGGCTGGGTCATATGGTAGGTCTGTATTCAGATTTCTGAGGTATCTCCATACTGTCTTCCACAGTGGCTGTACAAGTTTACATTCCCACCAACAGTGGATTAGTGTACCCTTTTCCCCACATCCTTGCCAGCATTTATTGATTTCTGTATGAAAGCTCTTCTAACAGGGGTGGTTTAGATTTGCATTTCCCTGATGACTAGTGATCCTGAGCATTTTTTCATGTGTCTGTGGGCCGTTTGGATTTCCTCTTTTTGAAAAATTCCCGTTTGAGTCCTTTGCCTGTTTCTTAACTGGGTTGTTTGTATTGTTGTTGAGTTTCTTGATCTCTTTATATATTCTGTTATTAATCCTTTATCAGTTGCATAGTTTGCAAGTAATTTCTCCCATTCTGTTGGTTCCTCTTCACTTTGAGTATTTCTTTTGCAGTACAGAAGCTTCTTAATTTCATGTGATCTCACTGTCAATTTTGACTTTGCTTACCTGTGCCTCTGGGGTTTTTTTCTAAGAACTCTTTGCCTATGCCAGTGTCTTTCAGGGTTTCCCCAATGTTCTCTAATAATTTGATGGTATTGCATCATAGATTTAGATCTTTAATCCATTTTGAGCAGATCTTTGTATAAGGTGAAGGTAAGAGTCCTTCTTCATACTTCTGCGTATGGAGATCCAGTTTTCCCAGCACCACTTGTTGAAGAGACTGTCCTTGCTCCAGGGATTGATTTTAGCTCCTTTGTCAAAGATAAGTTGGTTATGGATGTGTGGGTTGATTTCTGGCATTTCTATTCAGTTCCATTAGTCTATCCATCTGTTTTTGGCCAGTACCACTTTGTTTTGATTCTAACTGCCCTGTAGTATGTCTTGAAATCTGGTATTGTGATGCCTCCAGCTTTGTTTTAGTTGTATAGGATTCCGTTAGCTATTCGAGGTCTCCTGTGTTTCTATATGAATTTTAGCATTTTTTTTTTTTTTTTGTATCTGAGAAGAATGTCCTTGGCATGTTGGTTGGTTGCATTGAATCTGTAAACTGCTTTTGCTAGTGTGGACAATTTGATGACACTGATTCTTCCAATCCATGAACATGGAAGATTTTTCCTTTTTTTTTTTTTTTTTCTTTTTTGTGGCTTCTGTTTCTTTAATGTTTTATAATTTTCATTGTAGAGATCTTTACCAAACTCTTCTATGATTTCCAGTAGTTTCTTAGTGGAGTCTTCTGGATCCCCTATATATAGAATCATGTCATCTGTAAACAGGGATACTTTGACTTCCCCCTTTTCAATTTGTATCCCTTTGATTTCTTTTTCTTCCCTAATGACTGTGGCTAAAACTTCCAGGGCGATATTGAATAGCAATAATGAGGGTGGGTATCCTTGTCTGGTCCTGGATCTCTGTGGGAATGCTTCCAACTTTCCCCCATTCACTATGAAGCTGGTCTTGGGATTTTCATACATTGCCTTGAGGAATATTTCTTCTATATACAATTTGCTTAGAGTTTTCATCATGAAAGGTTGTTAAACTTTGTCAAATGCTTTCTCTGTATCTATTGAGATAATCATATGGTTTTGGTTCTTCAATTTGTTAATGTGCTGTATCACATTGATTTGTGAATGTTGAACCATCCCACTTGGTCTAGGTGAATGATCTTTCTGATGTTGGATTTGATTGGATAATATTTTGTTGAGGATTTTTGCATCTATATTCATCAGAGAAATGGGCCTGTAGTTCTCTTTCTCTATTGTATCTTTTCCAGGTTTAGGATTTAAGGTGATGCTGGCTTCATAGAAAGAATTTAGGAGGATTCCGTCCCTTTTAATTGTTTTTGAATAGCTTCAGAAGAATTGGAGTTAGTACTTCTTTAAATGCCTGGTAGAATTCAGCAGTGATGCCATTGGGTTCTGGGCTTTTCTTTGCTGGGAGAGTTATTATTAATTCAGTTTCTGTTTTGGTTATTGTTTAGGTTTTCTGTGTCTTCATGGCTCAATATAGGTAAGTTGTATGTGTCCAAGAATCTATCCATTCCTGTAGGTTTCCCATTTTGTTGGCATACAGCTATTTGTAGTAGTTTCTGATGATTGTTTTTATTTCTGTGGTATCTATTCCATATCCTTTTTCATATCAATTTCATTGATTTAGGTCTCCTCTTTTTTTTTTTTCCTCTTTTCTCTGATCTTTTGAATTTTTGGGTTTCAATTTTTTTGTTCTCTAATTTTCATTATTTCTTTTCTTGTACTGTTTTTGAGTTTGGTTTGTTATTGTTTTTCTACATCATTGAGATGCATTGATAGAAAGATACCAAATAAAAGAGCTAATTCTTGATATAGGTACCAGTTGCTATATACGTTCCTCTTAACACTGCTTTTGCCATATCCCATAAGTTTTGCTATGTTGTATTTTCATCTTTATTCGTTTCAAGAAATTTTTAAATTTCTTTGCTGATTTCTTCAGTGACCCACTGTTCATTCAGGAGCATATTGTTCAGTCTCCATGTGTTGCATATGTTCTAGAGATTCCTGAGTTGCTGATTTCCAGCTTCATTCCATTGTAGTCAGAGAAGATGCATGATATGATTTTGATTTTTTTATTTGCTTTGACTTGCTTTATGGCCTAGCATGTGGTCTACCCTAGAGAAGGTTCCATGCACTGGTGAGAAGAATGTGCATTCTGCATTGAAAAGTTCTGTAGTTATCTGTTTGGTCCATTTGGTCTATAGTGTTAACTCTACTGTTTGCTTGCAGATATTCTGTTTGCTTGATCTGTCCATTGCTGAAAGTAGGATTTTTTTAAAAAGATTTATTTATTTATTTATTCAAAAGAGTTACACAGAGACAGGAGAGGCAGAGAGAGAAAGAAAGAGAGAGGGGGGTCTTCCATCTGATAGTCCACTCCCCAATTGGCCGCAATGGCCGGAGCTGCATTGATCTGGAGCCAGGAGCCAACTCCAGGTCTCCCACGCGGGAGTAGGGGCCCAAAGACTTGGACAATCTTCTCCTGCTTTCCCAGGCCATAACAGAGAGCTGGATTGGAAATGGTGCAGCCAGGTCTTGAACTAGTGCCCATATGGGATGCCAGCGCTTCAGACCAGGTGTTAACCCACTGCGCCACAGGGCTGCCCTGAAAGTGGGATATTCAAGTCCCCGCTACTACAGTATTTGAGTCTATGTCTCTCTCTAGATCCATTAACATTTCTTTGAAATAATGGGTGACCTGCAATTAGGTGCATAAACATTTATAATAGTCTCATCTT